TGATTAATTTTATCCATTATTTAAGTCTTGTATCTGATTTTTCTATAGTAATTAATATTTAATTTCTTCTAATTTTTAATAGTCATACCAAATTTTTTTCTCAAAAGTTCATTGATTTAGGATTTTGATAAACTACTTTGATGGCTAACAAATCTTTAATCAATATAATTGTTAATAGAGGTACAACACACCAGCAAGAAGTTTACCTAAAAGAGACCTTTTGATTTGGATTGTGTGTATATACACTCTATTGTTGGGTATATTTTTTTATTGTTGTTGTCAGTGCTCATAAAAGTGCTAATTATGACATTGTTATTAGGACAAATTACTTAACTACACTCCTTTACTTACCTTAATATTCATTTATCCCTACTTATTTCAAAAATTTCAAAAATCCCTTATTTACCTATGTATTCCGCATGTATCCGGCTATGTGGAATGTATCAAACGCTATGTATCCCGTGCACAACGCTATGTATCCCGCATGTATCCCGTGCACAACGCTACGTATCCCGCTATGTAGAATGCATCAAACCTAATGTATCACATGCACAACACTATGTATCCCGCTATGTAGAATGTATCAAACCTAATGTATCCCGTGCACAACGCTATGTATCCCGCAAACATCATTTTTAAGGGATTTTTGGTAAATAGAAAACTAGAAGGGATAGAATGTTATTTAGTACTTATAATATGTGGTTCCTATAATTTATACTTGTTATTATTATACATCATAATAGATACATACTTCACGAATCAGTAATGTATCCAATATGTATCTATTCGTATTTGATCAATTTTTTTATGGAATAATGGTCTGAAAAATATCCCAACTTTGGTGGGATTTGTTGTTGCAATACTAAACTTTCATAAGGACCTATTACCTCCCTAGACTATTTAATACCGTATTTTTTAACCCCTGAACTATTTAATAGTGTATTTTAAAGGTATATATGTGCCCACGTGGACACATTACTATTTATAATTTTGCATTATTTTTTATGTCCACGTGGGTAAATATATATGTTTAAAATACGGTATTAAATAGTCTACGGAGGTGATATGTCATTATGAAAGTTTAGTATCGCAACAGTAAATCCGACCAAAATTGAGATATTTTTCAAACCATTATCCCTTTTTTATATGTATCTAATACACCCTAATATATGATACGTATACACTTTATGAGTCTGATACATACTATATAAAATTGTTCAGATACATTTAATTTAATATTATACACAATAATCATGTAATAAGCTCATATCATAGTTTAGATGAATCTGATATAATGTTAATTTTGTATTTGTAAATCAATTTATCTTATATATATAATCTAATCCAGATACATTTTTTAACGAAGAGTAAATACTCAATAGATATATACAACATATATGTTCTAGATATACGCTAAAAAGTATATTTAATATACATTTTTATAAAATTTAATCCATATAATTATATTGAAATTTTGACAAGATACGTTATTGAAAATTATCTTTTAATAAAAGATATAATTCAAAAATGGTAAGCCGTTAGACAAGTGATATACTCTTAAAATTTAGGTTTCAATTACATTTTATTTTTAAGTAAACATAATTACATGTACATGCTTCGAATGTAACTGAGATACATGTATCTGAACGCGCTAGATATATGTGTATGATAAACTAAATATGGTATAACTATGCAGCAAACCCATGTTTTAATTTAGATGAATCATATACAATGTCAATTTTGTATGTGTATGAATATATAGATAAAATTATCTTTATATATAATTCTAATTCAAATATCTATTTTTAATCTCAACTTTGTATCACGAGTATGTATAGTAAACACTAAATAACATTTCGGTACATATAAGTTTTTCGTACATGCTAAATAGTATAATTCATATACATTTTTATAAAATCTAGTTCATATACAATAATACTGAAAAATCTAAATATTTTGAACTCACAAGTTGCTTGTGTATTTTAAAGAAATTACAACTCTCTCGCTATTCAATTTCAAGAAATTGAGTTACTCTCTCCTAGGATATTAAAATGAGTTGAAATTGAATTTGGGTTGGGTCCTGACCCGTCTAAGTTTACTTTGGGCTCAAATAGGAAAAAATGGCACAACATGGCATGTAATAGTCTAGTTAAAATTGGCAATAAATAGCCCATTAATAATATTTTAGCAAAAAAAAGAATTCTTAAAATCTATTTGCCATCTATTTGCCATGTTCTCTTTTACTCATTTTTTTTTCCTTTGAAAACTTATTTTATTCAGTGATTTTTTTCTAACCCTTTTCAAGAAACGTTTTTTTCTTTCATTCCTTTATTGATTGAAAAAGTAAAAATGATTTGTTATCCTTTCTTCATCTCTCGTCTTATTTTAAACAACGATTTTTTCATACATGCATATACTCTTTTTTTTGCCTAAATTTTCTCCTTCTCATCTACATTCAACCTGTGTATGATGATATGCTAAATCATTTTTTTTTCTTTGTTCTTGACTATATTTAATCTATCACATATATTTTGAAACTAAAAATTTTATTATTTTATTGTTCCTATCTTCTCTCTTCTTATTATTTGTCAACGATTTTAAAGCAAAGTTCTCTCTTTTTTGTCTCTTTTTTTTTCTTTGTAAAATTCTTTCTTACGATAGTTTCCCTTTTCTTCTCTCCTAAATTTTATCTTCTATTTCTTAATTTCCTCTTTCTCTACGTATTTCAAAATTCAGATAAAAAAGTGGAAGTACCACGAAGAAGAAAGGGAAAGAAAATGTATACCCCATTTCAATGAATTATTTGAGACATTCATATAAGATGTGTATACATATTAGCTTTTAATTTGACCGACTATATATATATTAAAAGTGTATACATTTCAAATTACAATTTAATGGTGTATACATACATGAGTGTATACATATCTGAACTATATAAACTACAATTTAGTAGTGTATACATACCAGAAGTGTATACATTTCAGAACTGTACAAAAAACAAAGTAATGATGTATATATATTAGAACTACACAAATACAACTTAAAGATGTATACATATCAGATTATACAAATATAATTTAATGATGTATACATATCAGAATTGTACAGATATAATTTAATGATGTATACATATCAGAATTGTACATATTTCAAATTAATAGTGTATACATGTGAATATGTTTCAGGTTATTATCTACCCTTTTTCTTTTATATTTCAATGAGATTAACAAAGTGATGTCAATTGTGTGTTGTATTGTAAGAGAGAGAAATACGAACAAAACAATTTTTTTATGGAAAAAATATGTGACTATTCAATACACGTTAATAAAGGGATAAAAATATTTTTATTTTGTAAATGTAGCAGCATTCTTTTCAATTGATTAATTAATTAATGTTGTTTGAGAAAAAAGATTATTTCCTTAAAAAGAGGCGGATCTTTTATTAGTGGCTAAGTAGTGCCAATTAATTGAGGCCTTTCGGTTGCTAATTATTTTTTGGCTACTTAGTGCCAATACTATGTGTGTATTGTACCTTTGTGTCAATTCCTCCTCAAATAGGTTAGACTCAAATGGGATTAAAACGGATTGGATCTTGACCCGCTCAATCTCAATAATTTTAATATATTATTGTTTAGGTTTTATATTCACAATTTTGAATTTCAACTCATGAAAATTTTAAAAAGAAGAAGTTACAAATGGATATATAAGTCCTAAAAGATATAAAGGAGATTGTAATTCATATCTTCAATACAGGCACATACATTACTTCAATACAAATAAAGAATCTTAAAACGGGTTGAAATTGAAGATTTAATTGAACTCAATTGAAAATTTTCTTAAAATGAATTAAGACTTGAATGAATTGAGATTGAACTCAATTCAAATTAACTTGAACTCAACCCTTAGAATTTTGGACAGATTAGGCGAATTAGCTACTCATTTTTGACACCCTAAATAAAAGTCATAAAGATCATTGAAAACCAGTTGCCAATTAAGAAAAAATTACTTTATCAACTCAAGTTTTGAACGTGTAATAAAAGGTCATAAAAATCTCATTAAAAGTAATTGCCAATTAAGAAAAATTCTCTCTACCAAATCAAGTGAAAATATGTTTGTCCATTAGATATGAAAAATAATAATAGCAATTAGCACATGAATATTGAATGCTATCTTATAAATTTAGACTCTAGTAATTATATTATTAATTCTCTTGACTAAATTAAATAAAAATAATTCTTGTTCTTTTTGAAATACTAATAATATATCTACCAATAGGTATTTCTCTCTTTTATTTTCTTCCTGTAATTAGAAAATAATTTTCCACCTTTTTTCCAACATATACCCTACCCCTAGTAAACACCCTAAACCTAATCAATAAATTTTGAGTATTAAATTAATATTTTTTTTTTAAAAAAAAGCACAAATTTAGAGGAAGTAGAAGAATTTAGAATTTTTCGATGTGAATTCAGATTTAGTCGAACTTCAATATGAATAATAGACATCGAATAGAACAAAAATTAAAAAGAAGGATAAAAAATATAGAAGTTTTTTATGTGAATTCTAATTTTGTCAGATTTCAATGTAGATATCAGACTTCAAATTAAAACAAAAAAATAAATATATATATATATAACTTTTCCACATAAATTCAAATTTAATCAAGATTTCATCGAATGCAAACAAAACAAAAAATGAAAAGGACAGAAAATGGCAAGAAAACCAAAAAAACCGGTGTCATTAGATGATCATTGTTTTCAAATATTTGTACTAAAATCTTCCCAACTACCCCCGGTCGGCAAAGAATTTATTTGATGCGCGTGTGGCACACTCGACTCGAATAAACCTTGGGCGTGAAAATAACATTGTAATTTCCATCAAATTTCAGGGGCATTTCTTTTTCTCTTTCAACACCTCCACTACTATATATTCATTTGTGTACACAAAATTGTTTGGTGAACAATTGTTTATAGATTTGGAGAATCCAAGACACTAAAGTCCTCTTGTGTGAGTATACAAATTCCATTTATATTTGATTAGCTTATGTTGAATCTCTTTGATTTGCTTATTTATGTGTTAAAGTTTTTAACTTTATTTGGGTTTTCAGTAGATGGGGTCAGATCAGAAAGTTCATGTATTTGAGGAGGTTGCAAAGCACAACAAGACCAAAGATTGTTGGCTTATTATCAGTGGAAAGGTTAGATTTTTTAGTAGTAGTAATTTCTTATGAGATGTATTCTTATGATTAATGAATTTGAACGAGGTGAAAGTTCAGCTACACAATCAATTGAGCTCCTAAGATCGTGATGAGTTTGAATCTTGTTATTCTTGATTGGTTTTGTTTTTTCTTCTCGTTTTTGGCCATTAATTCAACTTATTGAGATGAAAAAGTGGGGTTGTAGAAAGTAATGTTCATTGAAGTTATCGAATTGTTTGTAATCTAGGGATGTATTTGATGATCTGATATGGTTTTTGTTTAAGTAGGTGTTGAATTGTTTGCTTTGTGCAAGCTTAGTTGTTCTGTTCACTATTCTTAAACGTTACCTAGTCTATTTTCTGACTTTGCATCCATTTGGTGTTAGTGGTGTTAAAGAGTTAAAGAGGTTAATAGTGTATAAAAAGGACAATCCGGTTCACAAAGCATCATGTGTCCACAAGGAGTCCAGTCCGGGAATAGTGTGATGTAGGCAACATACCTCATGTTCCATGGATCGAATCCGTGACTTATAGGTCAGATGGAGACAACTTTTGTGTTGCTCATACTGGGAAGGTTTATCTTTTTTTTTTTTTTTTGATGACAAGGGGAACCCGCAGTCGCTAGCCTTTGGGTGCGCATAGGGTAAAACTCCCGCTCCTATGCAATAGCTCGCAAACCACATAGAAGAGGTAACCCGCACTAGGCAAGCCCGGTGCGACGAGCTCAACCCAGAAGGCAAACCCCTTGCTTTCGCTGGCAAGGGGTTTCGAACTTGAGACCTCCAACATGGAAGTCACAAGCCCAAACCACTGGGCCACCCCGAAGGGTTTACTTGGAAGGTTTATCTTGGTAACATAAAATTGGATTTCCCCATTGGGAGCTGAGAGCAGGTGTTGATTAGCAGTGTAGAACATCAGGGGTTGATAGTAGAAATAAACAATTGAACTTTATAAATGTAGAGGTGGATATAGCCAGTATTCTTTTTCCTTTATTCTCTGTGTCTAAGGTCTGCACCAATAAATTTTGCCCATGAATGTTGCTATGGTATCATATTACCCAAAAAATTGCGACTTTTTTTCTTTAAATTTTAAGCCATCACCGTAACAGTGTGGGGGGTTAGGCTTGAGCCCTACCATGTCTATAACTTCCAAAAAGTTACAAAAGCAGAGGGGCACATGGTCCACATGGACCTAACTTTGATAGACAAAAACAAGGATAAACTAAACAATCTACAGAAAGACTAATGTGACAAGACTTTCATACTATAAGCAAAATACAATGGTTCTACTAACAAAAAATTACATTTGTTGTATCTTCTCCTTATGCTAGGAAGTTGCCACTTATATTAGCAATAGTTCCTTCACCTCTTTAGGAAATTGTGACTGATATCACATATATAATATATTGAAAACAGGCTTGTCACATTGAAGACTTTATAGCAAAAAACATAAACATGTATAAGCATTTCGTAGTAAAAGACAAGCAGATGACATTTTTCTAATATTGTGTTGATTCAAAGAAGAAGATCTCTAGACACATGAAGCATTGTTGGTCATGTATCTCTCGTGTCTCAGTGGCACAGACCTAAACCTTGTAGGAGTGTGTTTTATGGAAAGGTAAATCAGACTTATGTTATGCTGACTAAGTCAAACATATTTTATTTCTGACTTCCCCTGCTCGTTCGTGACTGCGAATCAGCAATTTTGACTCAGTTTTTTTGAAACATAGAGTAACCTGATAAAACAAGGATCCTTTCATCTCATTTGATCAAATAGGGATTGATCTTCACAACATAAATTTAATATGCATCTGATTTGTTAAAACGAAGAATCTTTAGTATGTACATCTAATATAATTGTTCAACTTTATTTCCAGCCAGTCAGCTGTAACTGCTGGAGATTAAGAAAGCCTAACTGTGGAGTACCTCAAAGGATTCCACAATGGACATTCTTCTTTAAGCTACTTACACCGTGAAATATGTTTAAACCCGACTTCCCCTGACTATCTGATTTTTTCTTGGATACTTCCTATGTTATCTAGACTCTTCCATCACTTCTGTTTGAGGATCCAAGTTCTTATTTTTCTCCTTCTGTAATACAAATATTGATTGATGTCTTGATATTAAATTGCTCTCCAGGTGTATGATGTGACTCCATTTATGGAAGATCATCCAGGTGGTGATGAAGTTTTGCTTTCAGCAACAGGTAATGCACGAGTATTTCACACAGTTTAGATTATCTTGGTTGTGAGTTTTGATAATGCATTTCTCTTTGGTCTGGTATCTGAAATTCATTTGATTGTGTGACAGGGAAAGATGCAACGAATGACTTTGAAGATGTCGGCCACAGTGATTCTGCTAGGGAGATGATGGATAAATATTACATTGGAGATATTGATCAGTCAACAGTTCCTCTTAAACGTGCTTACATTCCTCCACAACAAGCCCCATACAATCCAGACAAGACTTCAGAATTTGTTATCAAAATTTTGCAAATCCTTGTGCCCCTCTTGATTTTGGGCTTAGCCTTTGCTGTGCGACACTACACCAAGGAGAAGTAAATCTGTCACAATCTAATTTAAACTGTTTGATTTACATAGTTGTCAATTGACACTTGGTTTATAGTTCATCAAGGAGCTGTAGTAGCTGAACTTTGATTATCAGTTTGTATGTGCTTCACAGTTGCCATTTGTAGTGACCTCTTTGTAAACAATAGACTTCACTGGGTTTATGTCTATTATATTTGACAGACGTCCTTCTCTATTTTGAGTAGTTTCTGTGCTACATCAGACATCTCCAACTCCACTCTATTTTACTCTCCATTCTCTATATTTGGAGAGTAAAATAAAGAATCGGGTCTCCAATCACCCTCTCTATAATAGTAGTTCTCCAAATCTCTCTATTTCACTTTTTCATTAATTTAATATTATTCTTATTATTTGTAACTAACATATTATTTTTCATATAAGACTATTAATTGAATTTCTAATATTCGTAATTCTTTTTAAATGTAATATAACATTTTAAAAAATATATTATTTAATATATACTACTTTCATCCCTAATTAACAATATTTCAATTTTATTTTTTTGTCACTTTAAGAGATAATGTGATGTTATTATTGATTTTCACTATGAAGAATGCACAAAATTTAAATGAGAAGATAAAAAATTTAATTTAAAAATACAATACATGACATAATAATTTACAAGATAACAATACAATACATAACATAATAATTTTAAAAATTACAACAATAATTTAGTAATTCGGTAGGTCGTTTTCAGATTTAATAATATTCAAAAAAGAATAGTGTACGATCTAGAGAATTGTTGTGCTTGTGATTGCGGTTGTGTTTGTTGATTTTTTTTTCAATTATTCGTAGTTGTTCTTTAAAATTTTAGAATAAAATATAATTTTATATTAAATAAAGAAATTGAAAAGTAATAATTTTATATTACATGAAAATTATATAGAGTGATTATTTTGAAGAAAAAAAAGAAAGAACGAATTTATATTATGAAATAAGAAAATAAAATAGAAATATAAAATAATAATATAATATTGAAGAGAAAAAAAGATTCAATTTTAGAGAGTAAAATAGAGAATTGAGTTGGAGTTAATTGTCTGAAAAAATTGAGAACTCTATATTTGGTGAGTAAAATAGAGTTTAGGGTTGAAGATGCCCTCCGTCTGTACTAGAAAACACAGCTGCAGCTAACCGATTGACTCGAAAGCTGAGTTTGAAATTGAATTTAGAAAAATGAGCTTTGCCCATGCCCTAAGAGATATAGTCTCTAGGCTTTTAATTCTATGGCTTAAACCCCTAGGCTATCTCCTTGGAAAACAAAATCATCCAATTCCTGATCTGAAGCTACTCTGGCGGAAACTTGTGAAGGGTTACTAACATGGTAAAATTGTGAGTTAACTGTTCGTGCAATTTGTGCACAATAAGAAGCTTGCCCGTGGTGGTATTTTCACTTGGGCACTGTAACAGCTCTTGTAGAAAGGTAATGTTCTTATTGTTCCGTCACCGGATTTGAGGCAAGCCAAGTTGCAGGCTAACAGGATAACAATGTCAAACCGTACAAGGCATTCAATGCTTCTGCTTAGCACAGACAAAGTCAAAAACCAAACACCAACCATTCCACATCTCAACTGCTAAAAGTATCACAAACAGTGTAAATACACAATTGTAAGGCGCTCATGATCAACATCGGATACTTAAATATATAACTAATCTAGCTCATGCTTGCCCACACGACTCCCAACCCAACACCCCACTTCTTGATCCCAAGCAAGTTGGGCAATGGGTACAAGATATCCACTTCGAATAAGTTTTCCTACTACAGTATTAAATAGACCCTATAACTATAACTCTATAAGCATTAAAAATGAGAACTTTAAAGATATATATTGAGCATATGGTAGAACAGTCTGAAACACAGGCTTTCTAATAATGGCTACACTGAAATCGAGCAAATAGCAGTGCCTGTACTCGGCAGAGTTGCGAGTAATAGATAACCCCGATCTCTGACCAAAAAAGAGCAGCAACAGCAATGTTTTCACTTGTCAGGTAGAAAGTTCTTCCTCACCACAAAAGCATGAAGACTTGAAGAGCACCGACTCACTAATGCTGAATTTAGCAAAGAGAATAAATAAGTGGTATAAAATTTTGGAAGGCACTATACGAAAGGTGTCTATATCTTGTCATGGAGAGTCACCACCAAATCATGGGCATCATCTAGTAGCTTCCATACATCAAGATGACCAGCCATGTTATTGCACTCCCTTAAAATTTCATCCATGCTACTATACTTCTCAGTGATTTGTTTCCTCCTCTGTAATACAGATGCTGCAATTGCATAAAGCAAAAGATCATCTGTTGGTGGAGCACGCTGCCTAATCCTACTCCATGCAGACTTCCCAATCCCAGCCCTAATAGCGACCTGGTCTGCCCACATTACCTCCCATAGGCAGAGTGTTTGCTCAAAAGTTAATTCCCTCCTGAAGAGCACTACTACCATCCTGTACACAAAAAAACAATCCTCTGCTTGAAGCTTCTCTAAGTGCCTATAGAGATGTGAATCCTTATGTTTGATAATCTTAGAAATAATATTTAGTTGCCTCCTGATTCCAACCTCATCAAGCCTGAAGTTATGTCGAGCCTTCCTCATGAAACCAACGAAGCACCAAAAAGCTTCATGGTCCTCTGTCATCACAGTAATAATTGGTGAAAGCAAATCACTCATTCCCTGGCAATAGCCAATTTCAGGGTCATAAAGCGCATAGGCTTCAAGGATGGCAACTAACCGAGCAGCATGGAAGATCCTTGAGGGCTCGAGGTGATCATAGTCCTTCAGTCCAACAGCCTGCGCAGAACAGCGTGCCCGGCCATCTGATACTACTCCAGCCTGAGGTGTGGAATATGCTATCCATTCTTCATTAGCACGAACTGCATCAACCCGAATTATTCGTTGCCATGTAGCAAAATCTTCTGCATTGCAGGGCTGTGGCTGGACTTCTGTCTTTGAAGGAGAAGAGTCCTCCTTGGAATGCACTTCGGCTGTATCATACATGCTTCTTATAGAGAGGAAACTATGATGCACATCATGATCTGCAGAGGAATCAGAATCTGACGACTCAGAGTCAGAGACATCATTTGGCTCCATGGCTCGTTTGGAACTAGAAAATTCATCCAACATTAAATTGCTGTGACTGTCTGAATCCTCAACAAATGGGCTCCGGTCCCCACTAGAGAGGGATTCCAGGGCACTGACATCTTCATAATCGGGAAAATCCATTCCTTCCATGAGATTTCCACTGTCTCCATTGTTTCCAATTCCACCCGTCACTTTCATTTTAAAGGTTTCACTATTGTGTCTCAGTAGTTGGCAGCATTTCCTCCGAAGCATCACATATTCCTTTCTGCATTCACATATTTATGCACCATTAAGGAGTATGAACTATGGGAGTCCAAAAATGAATTGGAACTACTAATAATAGAAAGGTGATTATAACTTGTCAACTAAAAAAGCCGAGATTAAAAAGATTTTCATGTATGACACCTTTGTCAAGGTAGAGCAGATGTATTTGGAGACGTTACCTGTTCTTTTTTCTTACAGTGTCTCTTTCTTTTTTGGAACTGTCCAATTCATAGCTGCACAGACGCAAGGAATAATTATCAGTCCTGACCCAAGCCTTCACCAGTATAAAACTCTGACACATAAAGTAATTAGACAAACGGAGACCCTACAAAAACATTGCCTGCCCATCACACCACCAAGTTAAAAAATGACAGAAGCTATATAGAGTCTGTCCTTTCTCAGCATAGATCTAAAGAGACACAAGCAGTTAAGAACCCATTAAATCACCAATGAATGAATTTATTTTCAGACTTAGTGACCAGAGCTTGGTTTCTTTTATATAATCTTCCGTAGAAGACAATCCTAAGGGGTCGTTTGGTTTGAAAATGAGTTATGATGGGATAAGTTATGTTGGGATAAGTTATGTTGGGATTAGTTATGATGGGATAAGTTGTGTTGGGATTATTTTTTATTGAGTGTTTGGTTTGTTGTATTCAAAATAATAAATTTTAAGAACAATTTATTTGTTTACAAAAATGCCCTTCATTAATGTAAAAAGTGATATAACAAAAGGGTTGAAAGAGACATTTTTGTCATTTACCTATTTTATCCCGGGATAAGTTATCCCGGGATTACTATACCACCCAAGGAGAGGGATAACTTATCCCGGTACTAATTATTAATCCCGGGATAAGTTATCCCGAACTTGCCAACCAAACAACAAAATAAGCGGTACTATAATTTAATCCCGGGACTATTTGTTATTATACCTCACACCAAACGAGCCCTAATAGTATAGATCAATAGGAAACAGGGATCCTACAATATACAGAAACCGGTTCATAAGAGGATTCATTTAAAAGATCCAGTAGAAAAACTGCAGTACTGGTCTCACTCATTATGGAAACGTATTAATTGACAGAACTGGAAGAAAGTTTAATGTCATCAATCTGGATTTCAATCTTAATAATGGTAACTAGTACGAGAGGATAAACTTACACCCCGAGGAGAAAAGGCCAAACCTCCGCCCTGATGCTAGGATCAACTCCCTGCATAAGAGAAACAAAGTTCAGTAAACGAACCAACCCTTTACATTGACAGTAGGGAAGAGAAAGAAAAGGAAGATGGTAAAGTTTTCTGCTGTTAGGTTTGCGTTTGACAATAGAGGAAAAAGATTTCGACAGAGAAAACTGATCTGCAATTTGTCCCACAAGGTTCTCTTTCCTCTTTGGAAAGGAGAAAATCAACAGAAATTTTGAAAAGCAAAGCAGTCTACACTCCAATTCACCACTCCGTTCCTCTTTTGGACTCCAAACAAAAGAAAACTGTGTTATTTTCACCTTAACCAAGGGAAAGAAAATGATTTTCTCTTTAAAACTCCCTCTTCTCATTTCCCTTCATTTTGCTTTCCTTCCCTTTCACAGTTCCAAACAAACATTTAAAAGTTCTAATATGTAAATGGGAAAAGGGTCAAAAATGCCCTTAAACTATGTGAAAGGAACAAAAATGCCCTCCGTTTATAGTTTGGCTCAAAAATGCCCTTAGCGTTAATACTTTGGTTCAAAAATGCCCTTAAACTATATGAAAGGAACAAAAATGCCATCCGTTTGTAGTTTGGTCCAA